GACAGAAATGAAAAATATGCACGTAATATACTTTGCTTTTCTTTTCGAACCGACTTTCCATATCTGCCCTCTCGGGGAATAAAACAAAATGACATGACTACTAATAAATATTACGATAATGGAACATTTCGTCGATAATCACGATTATTTCAGTTTAAAATAATTCGAGCTGCGTTTTTTTTTTTACTATGAATTCGATTAAATGATACAATTTATTCGCATATTGAGATATTTTAAAGAAAAACCTATAATTGATCTTTCCGCCAAGGAAAAGAGAGAGCTCGCAGATTTAAATAATCTGTAAAAAAAAAAAAAGCTCGATCAGAAGCCGCCGGTATATGTATTCCAATAATACCGATTCCGGTTGTATTTAACGCAAACGACATTATAATGATTATGTAATAACGACGTGATTCCTCTTCTGAGTTCGTAGCGAAAGAAATGGAAAATCGATACTATCGCGAAACAGCCAGGAACCTCTCTCGCCATTTGTGAACGGGAAAGCGAGGAAAAGGAAAATCGGCTGCACGCGGCTGATAATATTCAGATACTTCACGTCGTTTCTTCTTGTCGACTTCAGTCGAAATTGTATATCGTTCTGCAAAAATGAAATAAATCCTCTTTCTTCAACTTCTAGTTTTTAAAATATCTTTTTGCAAAAAATTAATAAACATAAGTAGTACTAATTAGAGATTATGTGAGCTTTTAGGCTATCAGCTGTGTTTTTGTTATTCGTTGGAGCTTACGATATAAAAGTGAATTCATTAATTCACGATCTGTGAATAGACATTATATTCACATTGTACAATCCACAGGCTTCTACTTGTATTTATAATTAAGTATTCGAGACTAACGTTTCAGTTTAAGACACTCCTATATTCGAGTGAGTTATAATACCCACATAAGTACCTACACGATATATATATATCCGGTTGGATTTCGGTGATGCCAATTTATAGGACGTACGGAATCTCATGCGAGAGATAGCATTATCATCCATGACTTTTTCGCTAGAGGGAAAATTATTTTTAAAAAAATCGTACTTTGAAATTTCACGGATTTGAGGACAACTCGCACGCTGTGGCTTTCTGCTCGTAGTTAACTGAATTGCTTTCGGACTTGTGCGTAATCCTATTATGATTACCGATTGGATTTTGGCTGAGGAAAAAAATTGCTTTCGAATGCGTAGAATCTGCGGCCGTTAAAGCGTCGCCAATATCCTAGAAATTGCTAAGCGTCGTTTCTCGTTTAACACCTGGAGAGGGAAATTCGGAGGTTGAGAGAAGATACGGGAATGCACCGCAACGCGAAATCCTTTAATCGCTTTTTTCTTCTACGCGCATTTGCGCGTAATCGGGCGTGAATTAAACGTGAAGAGCTTGGCGCTATGTTCGTTCGTTTTTAACGAAAAGTATTTTCAACGCGCAGCAGTGGTTTAGTTGATCGCATACATTTTCAATTGTAAAAAGAGAAGAAGAGAGAAACAGAACAAAAGGTGTATCGATACTGTAAAAGGGCTTAAGTATTTCGCTGCATTTTAATTGTGTCGGACTATCGAACGCATTCTGTTTCGTATTTTTATTTTGTAAAAGAGTTTGAAAGACTCAATAAACAGAAACATATTTGAAAGGAATATACGACAAACATAATCACTGACTTCATTTATTAAATAAATCAAAATCTCCCCCTCCTGTGTAGCATCTTTTACAATTTTAACTGCTTTATATTTGATACAAGAAGCGAGAAGATGCGTTTATTATATATATTCTCTCTCTTGAAGAGTATATATTAGAAATAAATTAAATAACGTTTTATTCTTATATAATGAATTTTTATCTTTTTCAATGCTGTAATTTCTTTATTTCTCCGTTTAATGTCACAATGATACAATCACAAGCTATTACAATTTTTCCTTTCTGTTTCTCTCCTCTTATTGTTTCTAGTCAGTAAGAGCCGATTCGTCTTGCCATGCGATGCAATACGATAGACAGTTGTCGATTTGAATCTATCCAGATCAACCTATGCTACATAGTTTATGGGACGACGAAGGATTCTTGCGAGGAATATCCGACACACGTGTGTCAGAAATAGTCGCCATAAATAGGGATTTCCGTCGTTGGATCGATCTCTCGTCGAAAGATAAAGATACCCGTTGTAGCTTCTATCGTGATTTCTCTGGTGAGCAATGTGCCAAATTGTTTATCGGTTGTCTCGCCAAATATAAGTTGGTCACCTAATAATTTAGCAGCGTTCGACACAGAATTTCGTTCGAATCGTATTTTCGATTATAAGAATAAAAGAAAAAGATAAAGTCAGAGATCTTTGCACTCTCCATTTAATAAAATTAGTGTAAACAAATTATATATACACACACACACATATATATATATATATATATATACATATTTAAATCTCTAATCCTTCACCAGTAACGTGAATTTTAATTCTTTCGTCAACAATAGAAATCTTCAAGAAACAGAGCAAATTTTTTACTGTTCCCGATTATAAAAATATGAAAAAATTCTCGTGTGTACTTCTCAAAGCTTTAACAACGAATTTTTATCATCACAGAAGTCGGATTATTTATTTTTTACAGATTTAAATTTATCTGTTAAAATTCATAATCAAAATGATACCTTTACAGATCCTAGTTGCCGGGGAAAATTAATAACGATACGATATTATTAAATAAATATGAATTTCTCGAAGCAATTCAAATGCAACGGAAAGTCCAAAAATGTCAATATAAAAATGTAACATTCTTGAATAGCATCACATCATTATTATTCAACAAATATTGTTGCAAAAGGCTTTCAAAGAAATGGAGATCGGAGCAGCATCATATCGGATTCAATCAACGTATTCACTGTTCCACGCAGCTCATGAAATTTTCCTTTTGTACACAACGAATATGTTAAGCGACACGATAGTCAGAGTAGCGGAGCATTCTTATACAATATCAGCATCCTGTACATCATATTCCGATCAGTAGTGGGGCGTTTTATCGACCTATCGATCCGAATGTGATTAAACGAGGGATAAAACAAGGGCACGAATGACATTTTAAGGAGGGTAACGGCACCGTTCGTCGATGAATAATTCAACCGTTGATTTGCACGACTCAGTGGAAATGTCGGATTCGATTTCGACATCGGTTCTGTCGCTCCCTCGTGGCGTCGATCGGCGCGCTTAAAATGAGCTTCCACCGCGCGCTCATAATTCGTTCGCGATGAATAAATGACGCAGGATGTGCCTGTCGCTTAAAGTTACCAGCCGACGGTTTTTTAACTGCAGACCGGCGACAAATTGGAATCGATTTTTCCTTGGCCATTTTCTCATCGGTATCAGTGTTCCAACGGTTTTATTATAACGCTAGGAAAGAAATAAAAAATAAGAAATGTTACATAAGACATTTGTGGAAGGAAAAGATTAAAGTTTAATATCTAATCAATTTAAATTCTCTCTCTCTCTCTCTCTCTCTCTCTCGCTCTCTCTTGAACAACAGTTTTTTTTTTTCTTGAAGAATGAAGTTACAGAGAGGCATATCATTAGGTTGAAATATACGGACAGGCTTCGGCGATAAGCGTACCGGAAATTAGAATTCTAATTTCCGTTTGATCAAAACGCGATTCCCACAAGTGTACTCGTCTCGCGCATCAATGCGCGCTGCATATTTCAACGCGAATATTCACGCGGTCGCGATATGACGATATTTCATTTCATGTGCGCAAAACGAGCGCTCTCATAGAGTTTTAACGCATCATGAGTTAATTAGGTCCTGAAGAGCACCGCCGGCTCGGCGACGTGCGATTTTTACGCTCTCGAGGTATTCGCGCCTTTCTTCCACCGAATTATTTATTGCCGTCCGTTTATCTTCACAAATACGTCGACAAATATAAATTGAGAGATAAAGAAGCCGTTCGAAGTCTAACGTCGCAGCTCTTCAGCTTTTTTTAACGTTATACTTCTCGTTTCACGCGATACTTCGTAGTAATTTATCGGATGAAAATTTACCACATTTCATTTCGTTAATGAGCTCAACAGGTGCGTGGAGAATGAATATCGACCGAAGATTGTGAGGCCTTTTAATTCCGCGGTTGCTTGACAACAGTCCAACAGTACGTTCCTATCGGTGAAATCCGTTTTTAATCGAATTATGTAATATTCGTGTTTTTCCAGTCTTCCGGTCATGAAGTCAAATCGCGAATGAAGAAGGAAAAAGAGAAATGAGAGAGGTGGACTTGGTAGATTAAGCACGAAACTAGCACAGACGGGAATCCAAACTGGAGGAATCCTCCGATTCTTCTCAGAGGAAATGAGAATCGTGGAAGTGAGAAGACAAGGGAAGAAGATGTGCTTTTGTACGCTTTGAGCGAAAGAGAATCTCATTGGAAACGAGCACCTCGACGAAAGTACGTTTGACATAAGAAGATGGGAGAGTTCTTCTCCCAGTTATTGGCTTGACGGCTTCAAAAGTTTTATAGTTCGTTCTATAATTAACGCGAGTAGAATTGCAGTGATGCGTTTAATAATAATAACAAAATACATGCGTCACAAATTTTTAATTTTAATAACAAATGCCTTTGATGACAAAATAAGAACTCAATCCCGTATTAAATTTTATCATATGTTTTGTACTTAAAAAACAAAAATAGGAATATTAAATTCTCTCAGGATGTAATATGATTTTTTTCATCGTTATAGTAATTAATTTAATTAATCATCAAAGTAATCTTTTTAATGCTCCTCATTGATCTTTTAATTCTAAATGCTCTGCAGGAATGTGTTCATAAAAATATCCAAATTAAATATAAAAATGTCAAAATCAGTGAAAACGAGTTAACATTGAAAAAAAGAGACGACAATAAAAAAGATTATTATTAAAATAAAGAGAAAATGTATCAAAATAATTTTGGATTTCGCAGATCGATATCGTTTTATTGAGAGTTAATCCAGAACCAATTCGCTTAACCGAATAACTTTTTGTCATATATACTCACCCCACTTCGCCCAATTTGACCGTTGGTCTTGGATTGGTTCCGGAATAGTAATCGTGGTAGGTAATCGCGAGACAACGACAAACAACGGCAATCCCGTCGTCGAGAAGCGGCGCAACCTGCCGAGATTTAATTGGCCGTTAAACGATCGTTCGCTTCAGCTCACGAGCAAACCGAGATGCTCTCACTCTTCGTTCAATTAACACTAATT